CCTGTGTAGACCTGGCTGTCCTGGACTCCCTGTGTAGACCTGGCTGTCCTGGACTCTCTGTGTAGACCAGACTGATCTCACATTTACTGAGAGCCTCCCGCCTCTGTCTCCTGCGTGCTGAGATTACAGGTGTGTGCCAACATGTCTGATTCGAATTATAATATTTTTCATTTCTAAATGCTCTTTTCAGATGTTTCTGGCTAGTTTTCACAATCCCTTTCTCATTACTCCTATATTTAGCCCTTCTGTTCGTTTATGTAAATGAAACAATAAACATATCCCATAATTCCAGTATTTGAAATCTATAGATCTGATATGTATGTGGGGTTCTTTTGATTTTTTTGTTTGGGTTTTTTTCTCAGCCTCTTTTGTTTGTTTGATTTTTGAGGCAGAGTCTCACTATGTAGCTCTAGGTGTCCTGAAAGTCACTGTGTAGACCAGACTGGCCTTGAACAATCTATCCTCCTGCCTCTGTGCCTCTGCCTCCCGCATGCTGGTATTAAAGGCATAGGCTACCACACCAGGCTTCCCTACCCTCTCAGCCTTTTAATGGTACCTTATTTCCCTATCTGTCTCATAATTTTTATTTCTGTGCTTGTATTTATTTGATCTGTAGCTAAGGAAAGTGTTAGGTGTCTGGTGTGACAGTGTGTTTTTCTAGCACATTTTTGTGTGTTTTCCTTACTATGGTCAGGTCTTACTATGTAGCCAAGCTGCTTTTAAAAAAAGCTCAAGTGATCTTCTTGCCACAGCCTCCCTAGTGGCAGTGACAACATGCATGTCATGCCAAGCCTAACCCGAGGAAGATTCATGTTACCATCTGACAGACATTGAAGGCCTGGCCTGTCTTAAATTAGGACTCTTAAATAGTTGATTACAACCATAGAAATGATGTAGCTTCTAAACCTGGGGGCATGTTTTACATAATTGCTTCAAAGAGCCCAAGTTAAGGTAGATGTTTTCCTTTGGGGCTTAAACAATAGAAATTTGCTGCCTCCTATCTGGAGTGTAGAAACCCAAGGTCAGATGTCAGCACAGTTGGTTGTCTCTGAGGGCTGTGAAGGAGAAGGTACTCCACGTGAGCCCCTCCCCTCCCAGCTCCTGATGATTGGCAGGCAGTCTTTGATTTTGGGCTACACCACCGTGATGTACCCTCATATTTTCGTGCTCTCTTTTCTGTACGCGTGTATCCACATTTTCCCCTCTTATGAAGATGCCACTTATAAAATAGAATGGATTAAAGATTCTCTGCACATTTCACACACATTTGGGACAGATGGCTCTGTGGGTATGACTGTATGAAATAAGGTTTGTGGGTGTGTACACACATGCAAGCTTAGAGGAAGGCAGTGTTCAGGTTGTGTGACTATTTGTATAGATTGCCCTGATGCTGCTTTTGGCATTGTCCAGCTTCCAGCTAGAATTTCTACAAATTGTGGCTATTTATAGTGAAGAGATACTTTCTAATATGTATTTATTTTTATTTCATGCGTATCAATATTTTTTTTGCATTATTTTACGTGTCTGGTATCTGTAGAGGCCGGAAGAGGGTGCTGTATCCCCTTGAAATGGAGTTACAGAAGGTTGTGAGTTGCTACGTGGGTGCTGGAAACTGAACACAGGCCCTCAGCAAGAGCAGCCAGTGCTCTTAATCACTGAGCCATCTCTCCAGCCCTAGTCAATGGGTGTTTTCTGAATGAGTGGATTTTTACATCTGAAGTGAAATGTTCACACTCTGACTCTGCGTGGCAGCTAACTCAACTTTGCTTTTCTTGATAGATGAGCTCTCCCTGGAACAGCACAACCCTTCTTTACGTCATGAGGAGTTCCTTCCCAAGACAAGCGTCATGTACAGCACTGCACATGGGGCCTTATCTGAGACTCCAGGGTCCCAGCCAAGCATCTCTGTCCTTGTCCTGCCCTCTCCATCGGCTACTACTTTTGGTACAGCCTTTTTAAACCTCAGGCAACAGACTCCAAGCATGGCAGAGCACAGCATCTTTGAGGCACACGATGGGTCTGTGACGAGTAATGAGGTGGCCACTGATGACGATGAGATGGACAACTTTTTGCCGGATGCTCACTGGACCTCTTCACGGGTGGTTTCCCCAATACAGTCTATCACACAGAGCCCACTAGAGCCACCCCAGGAGATGCTGGAGCCTGGGATGACGCCGTCGCTACCCACGATTTCTTTGCAGGATGAAGTGCTGTCCGGATGTCAGAACACAGCGCAACAGGCAACTGTGCAAGTTGAGTCCTCCGGTGATTTCAGCACTTCTTGGTCAGCTTTTCTCACATCTGAGGGCATCATTCCAACTCCTAGTAGGAGTTTGGTGCTTCGTCCTACGGAAATTCACAGTCAGTTATCAAGCAAGGCTTTGCCAGAGACTGTAGCTTCCTTAACGGAGGGCTCAGAAAACCTCCTTTTCAGCTCCTGGATCACTGTGTCTCAGCCGTTAGGCAATGGCGTGACACAGCAGCCATCTGTTCCCCTGTGGGAGGTCTCTCGGCCTCTAATGGGTGTCCTGACCACAAGCTCGGACAGCTACCCTAATGGGACCACTGCTTGGAGTGAACATCTAATAGAAGCCATCTCTCTAAGAACACACCCCAGTGTAACCCTGTCACCCGCAGACCCTGTTTCTATCAGCCCGCCTTCTGTTTTATTTTCAGCCCCGCTTTCATCTGGGTCCTTTGCTACCCAATCAGCTGGTATTTCAGATAACCCCTTCCTCTCTAGCAAGGCCGGGGAAACCTTAGAATCTCTGTATGGCTCCCGAACCCTCAGTTTTTCTGACCATTCTCATCTCTTCAACCCTGAGGCGTCCCTGAGACCACACACGTGGTGTGTGTCCTGTGTTGTCTCATCAGCTCAGCAAGCTCTGGCCAGGAGCCTCACAGAGAAGGATGTGGACTCAGGGAACGGGCTTGAGACTCTGTCTGTGACCTCAGGAGAAGCGAGCCGTCTCTCTCCATCAAGCAGCATGGGTGCAGGCTTCTCTGAACTTGAAGATCTTCAAGAATTTAATACTCTTTTCCCTTCCAGACCCGTCGTCTCCCTTTCATCCAGATCTGTGGGGTTATGGGAAGTCAGCATGGATATGTCTCCTGAGGTTATGTCTCCTGAGGTGGATTTGAGCAGCATCACCACCACCCAGGTGTACACTTCCCATGGCCACCTCGCCACACCGAGCTCACTTGATTCCACTTTTGGCTTCTCTGTCACCAGTGATCTAGTGATGCCATCCAGTATGACCCATCTATTGTCCTCAGTCATCCCCAGCATCCACTTTGAGTCATCTTTCTCTTTGACTGCAAATCAAACCACGCCATCCCTTCCAGCTGGAAACCCAAGCCTTCTCACCTCTTACAGTTTGGTCTCCTCAGTAGAGTCAGTAGAGTCTGAGGTTCTTGCCGACCAAGAGCGTACCAGCTTTTTGGAACCCGCGTCTGGGAGTCTTTTGGATTCCACATCTGGCTTTTACTCAGCTCCACTCCTGGACTTCAGCGCTCCGGCCCCTTCACGGTCAGATGTTCTTGCTTTGCCGTCTTTGACGTCAAGCGATCCATCAACTTTCCTTTCTCAGCTTTTCCCCACCATGACTGAGACATTTTCATTGTCCAACTCAATCGATTTGCAATCACCTCAGCTTTTTGTTCTTAATCCCACAAGTCTAGAGCCATCTCAGCCTTGGTCAAGTTCAGACCTTCTTATGAAGACAGTCACTCTTCTTCCTAGTCACTCCGAGATGTCCCCCCTCCCAAGCTCCCCCCTTGATTCTCTCAAGTTGGACGAAGCATGGAGAGTCTCTCTGATAGAGTCCGATGTTCATCTTACCTCAGCTTTCTCTGACACTACCTGTGTCTTTGACTTCTCACTCATTCCCCATGACTCCTCAGTCAGCACCCTGGTGCCCTCCAGCTCCGAGACCTCCCTTGGCATCTCAACTGCTGGAACTCCCTTGTCTTCACTGCCGACTGTTTCCCATTTGACACCCATTTTAACCGAGTCATCTCCATTCTCGACTCTGACACCTTCCGATAGCAGTGTGAGCATGACAGACCATCACACACCTGTCTCACTCATGTCCTCCAGTGTCATTCCGACCAGCACAGAGTCAGTCTCTGACTTATACCTCTCAGCCTCCCCAACACTTGCTTCTGAAGTAAGCCCTTCACCCATGCCCACAAGGCCGGTCATGGGCTCATCATTGATACCCACAGATTTACCACCCAGTACCTCCCCAGAACCAAGCTCCTCCCCGGAACCAAGCATGCCTGACATCAGCACTGCCCCTGGTGATACCGTGGACTCTGCTCTGAACAGCGAGCCTATGAGTCAGAACCCTCAGGGGAACAGTGTGCCCCCTCCCCAGCCCTCCCTGGGTCCCGAGATCACCTCCACGCTCGAAGCCACAGTTGGTACGCCAGCACTGGCCACAGCCAAGCCGCCATATGTGTGCGATATTACAGTTCCCGATGCCTATTTGATCACAACTGGTAAGGCCCTGCTTCCAGTCACCTCTCTGAGGTAGGGGACTTCTCCAAGGTGTTGGTGTGCAGTACTTACAAGACACACCATCGAGGCTATGAGAGTAGGTGTTGGTCTCATACAACCTGTGGGTAGTAGTCCTCTTCGTTTGCCGCATCATGCTAGCCCTTGGTCTCTTAATCTGCTTTCACAAGTGTTAAATAAGGACCATAGGCTCCATTAAGCGACTACACCTAGGAAATGACCACACAACATTGCATATTAGTTAGCCATCGCCACAAGAGCAGGTAGAAGGTTTAAGTGGGGTGTGGAGCTTTTCCATAGCATCTTTGGCTTTGGAACTCATAACCCAGCATATGCATAAATGGCATGATTGAAACAAAACATTCTTGCTTAATTTTTAATATCTGCTTCTTTCTTATTGGTAGCCATCTGCTAGGGAGAGAGTCTAGACAAAGGTAGAGGAGATTTTTTTTTGGTGGAGCTCCATAATAATAATAATAATAATAATAACAACGCAGAGACATATACGTGAGGGGTGTTGACAGCTTAGAGGGAGATGCTTGGACGCCAACCTCCACTGAGGGGAGCCAGGCATCCTTTGAAGATCTCCACATCTCTCTTCTCTTGGCCTTAGAGAAACTGTCGATAGTTAGAGAACAGTGTTCGGGACACATGTTTCTGGATGGTTCCTGTTGCTCAGAGTCATGTACCCATGTCATGGGGCTGTGGTGTCCCGTCTTCCTCAGATTAACCAGAGGAGATGGCCGTGACGGTGGGCAGCGGGGGCCCTTGGGTAGCACTTGGCCATCCCGAGTGCTTCCTGTAGCTACAGGGGCTACTTGTTGTGTGTACCTCCTGTCTCCATTGAATTCTTGTTTTGGTTTCTATCATGCCTCACTTTCCCTGAGTTTGGCTTCCCTCCCCCTCACACATTTCCTCACATACATCCTACTCATTTCATTTTCCTGTGTCATTCATGGCGTAGTCTGGTCCACTCAGAGCCTGGCACGCCATGCCATTTGGCTGTTGGTGGGATCAGCCCAGGTGGCTGGACAGGGGCCATGGATTTGGTGTCATGACTTCAGGAACTAAAGAAGTGACACTCCCCACCTTTTACCACAAGTCACTGATGAACTAGAGAAACAGTCAGATAGCTTAAGCATTTGTTTTTATAGTGAATGTCTCAAGTCTTAATCATTTAAGATAGATAGGATAATGAAAAATCGAATGTTGGGACTCGAGAAATGGTTCGGCGGTTAAAAGAGTGTGCTGCTCCTGCAGAGGACCAGAGTTCGAGTCCCAGCACCTATGCCGGGTACCCCACAACTGTCTGTAACTCTAGCTCAAGGGGACCTGACCGACTTCTTTTGTTCTCCACAATCACCTGCACCTATATGTAATTCACAGACACACATGTACATAAATAAAATCTAAAAAAGAATAACAACACCAGATAATTATAATTCCACTATGGATGGAAGGGGATAGAGAAGGACTACAGGATAGAAGGGGAGGTTTACTGAATCCTGGCAGACAGACATACTCATTATATTTTTATTTTTAAAGGTGTGTGTGTGTGTGTGTGTGTGTGTGTGTGTGTGTGTGTGTGTGTGTGTAGGCCAGGAGAGGGCTTTAAACCTCAACCTTAGAGGTTGTGAGCTCCTGATGTGGGTGCTGGGGATTCAGCCTGGGTCCTCCAAACCACAGTCAGCTCTCCAGCTCCAGTCCAAATTTTTAAGTTGGACTTTTATATGAAAAACAAATAGAAAGAACTAGACTTTGGAGTGAGAAATATTTTATTTCCTGTATAAAATGTTGCTACTTGGACATTATGAAGAAATTCTCTCCCATCAGTAGTGGTTAGCACTCCCCAGCAGCTGCTTGGAACACTCAGTGCAGCCATCCTCCTGTGCAGGACAGTATCACCAGTTCATTAAATAGCATCTTAATGATTTAAAAAAATAATACTTCTGAGAGATTTTAAAGCCTCAACCTTGGCCATTGGGTGCATAGCTGGAGAAATTCTGCTGTTTGTTGAGAAGAAAGTGGGAACTGGAAGCTCCCTGTGCCCTGGGTGGGCCACAGTTGCTGCTCCCCTGTTCTGCCCACCAACTTTCTCAGTGCGTCGGGCTGATGCTGTGCCAGGTTTTTCCATTTCCTGTAATATGTCACACACTCAGATCTTTCTACTCTGTCCCTAGTCTGGGCCTTGTATTTCAAAACAAGCCGCTAGCATGCTTCGTCTCAGCCATGGCTTCCTGAAGTGACATCTTCATGCTCCATAATAGCACTAAAATGCATCTGGTGGTTGGCTTTCATTTGTAGTGCTGGCCAGGCGAGCTGTGCAGGAGTACATCATTACATCAATCAAAGAAGTGCTGAGGGTTCACTTCAACCGTGCCGTCGAGCTGAAGGTGAGACCCTGAGCCTGGGAGTCTGATGCCTGACATGGGGTGTGGTAAGAGCCCTGGGCCCTGCGCTTTGAATCCTCTCTCTCACTCCTCTCCAGGTATACAGTTTCCCTCTGCATCTCTGCTCAAGCGTCATTTTACCCTGTGCAGTGGGAAATTCGTTTGTAGAGTTGGAATAAAGAGGCTTTCAAACCAGAAGCAGCATAGTTTGGGGCGACCTTAAAAGTCTCGCTATCCTTGAGTTATGTTAATAAATGACTTGGGCTTATGTTAGCTTTCAGAGTGAGTACATTTGTGTCTTTCTGTACATTCAGTGTAGCTGAAATGGATGTCTGCAGTGTTTACACCCGCTGATGGTGTCCCTTTCCCAGATGAGCTCAGAAAGCCATGCTCTACTAGTCCTGCCCCTGTCTAACTAGAGCCCTGAGCCCTGAGCCCTGAGCCACGCTGGCCATGGAGCATGTGAAATGGGCATGGGCTGAACTAATAAGATGCATGGTGAGTGTAAACTGGATGCCATATCTCAAAACTGCACCAAATTAAGGGCTGTGGACTGTCTCACTGATAATTTTTGTACTGCCTACACATTGGAAAGATGTTTCCCCTATTAAGTGAAATGTGTTTAAAATTAGCTTCCCCCATTCCTCTACTTTTACTGTGGCCGCCATATACTTTAAAATGCCCAAGTGACTGTGTTATTCCAAACAGTGAGACTCAAAGAAACAACTGCTCCTTTATGTGTGTCTTAAACATGACAGAAATTTGAATTTTCCATAGCTCACTATTCAGCCTATCTTAGTGGCTGTCCTCTCTTGCTGCTCCGATACCTTCATGCTGCTTTTGTAAAGTTGGGATAATGTAAAAGGAATACATAAAATAAAATCTTGATTATCTTTGAAGCATTTATTCTCCCATTTAAGCTGCCGACATATTGTTTTACTTATTATTTTTTTCTATCCAATAGTTTTCTTTAAGTTTGAATTGTCTTTTAAATTTTTTTCGTTTCTCTAGGTTTATGAACTGTTCACAGACTTCACTTTTCTGGTAACATCCGGTCCTTTTATTTACACGGCAATATCAGTCATTAACGTCCTCATCAATAGCAAGCTTGTGCGTGACCAAACTCCTTTAATCTTGTCTGTGAAGCCTTCTTTCCTTGTGCCGGAGCCCAGGTTCCAAGTTCAAACAGGTGAGACCACTGAATGTAGATGTTTGGTTTGTATGTAGATTTTACTTTTTAAATTATACACCTATTTAAAGTAGGTGTTTATGTGCTGTTGAGATGGCTCAGTGGGCGAAGGAAGACCCAGGTTTGATCTCTGAAACCCACATGGAGGGAAATGACTCCTGCAGGTTGTCCTTTGATCACTGTCTGCCTGTGCACACATACGTGCACACACACATACAAGTAAAAATTGAGAATTGTGCCCACATGTAGTACATAGACACACACAGGCAAACACTCATGCACATAAAAATAAATACAATCTTGTAATTTTTAAATTGGGTGTTGTTTTAAAATTATTCATTAAGTTATTGTGACAGTCTTGCTGTGGTTCTAGTCCGGACTCCAGCTTCCAGTTTTGAGCAAACCTTCTGACGTGGCCTTACTAGTACTTTCTGGACTACTGTACCTGGGCCTGTTACTGCTTAATTACCAGCAGTAACAACTGCTTTATAAGTATGAAAAAAGCCAAGCATATGCAGAGCTACAGCAAATAGTCTAGTGAACCCCCATGTGACATTATGTGGTCTCCACAAAATTTTACTTCCTTTTCCTTTTCTTTCTTTTTTTGGGGGGTTGCATGTGTGTGCATGTAGGTATATATGTGTGCACATGCGTGTGGAGGCCAGAGTACAACTTAGGAGTTTTTGCTCAGGTGCTGTCCACCTTGTTTTTTGAGCAGGCTATCTCACTGGCCTGGGGCTCACCAACTAGGGATCTGCCTGAGCCGGCCACCCTGGTGCTGTGAGTGCAAGCATCACTGTGCTTGGCTTTTTCTCATGTGGGCTCTGGGGATGCACGTCAGATCCTCATGCTCTCAAGGTGTGGCGCCTTGTTGACTGAACTATCTCCCCAATCATAACAATTTTCAGTTCTCAGTCAGACTTTCTCCCATTCATGTCTCCTTACATTATTTCATAGTAAGTCCTAAGGACCATAAAACCTCACTCAGCATGTAGCTCTGTAAGAAAAGGACTGTTAAACACAGGGGCACATCTGTCCATGTCACTACACCCCCAAAGTTAACCGTAATGGCCTGATACTGTATTTAACCTTTCATTATGGACATTTTCAACCATGTACAAAAGTAGAATACACAATATTAAGTTCACACATGTTCATTAGTAAGCTTAAAAAATAATCAAGATTTTTGTCTATTTTCAAGAAAAAAATTGGTAAAACTCTTTTGAGGACGCAAGAATGTTTTAATGGACTGGGTGTGGTGGCTCGCACCTTTAATCTCAGCACTGAGAAGGCAGAGGCAGGTGGACCTCTGTGAGTTGGAGGTCAGTCCAGTCTACAAAGTGAGTTCCAGGATAGCTAGAGTGGTTACAGAGAAACCCTGTCTCGAACACAAAACACACAAAAACGTTTTAATGTGATGCCAGGTGTCATATCATTTCACCTACATGTACTTAATGATTCATCTGTAATAAATATTATATATATTTGAAATGTTTAAGAGTTACATCTTCTAATGCATAGCTGTTGAACTGGACTTGAACTCCTGGTCCCAAGTGATTTCTTTGTCTCAGCCTCCTGAGTCCCCCTGAGCTCAAGCACGCCAGTCACCTTCTTGTTGCACGTGTTCACAGGGTAAAAAAGTTGGCTTTCTACATCTCTCTGAGAGGAAACTTAGAAAACTCATCCTTGGCTCCTGGAAGCAACCAGTCAGCATCATTCTGTATCCTGAAGACGCAGTTGAGTAGCCTTATCTCAGGAACTCATAGTTCTGCTTTGTGACCCTGGGAAACCCTTCTTAGCCCACCTTAAGCCAGCTTTGCCCCCAGAGATGCCCTCAAAGTAAATCCAGTATGTAGCCCTCATCCTACCAGAGATTTCTGCCTCCCTTAGACCTTGAGAGTCACCCTGCCTTATTATCAGGAATGTTGGGGCATACCCCTTGACCCAGTGGGGTAGCCTCTGCCCAAAACAAGCTGTGGAAACTGAAATGTACCCCACACAGTTTGTGTTGAAGTCTCATAGCCTCTGAATCCTAGGCCACTAGGACACTTGGAGTCACAGCCCTATGACTATAGGGGAAGGAGTTTTGCAGGCACTGTACCTGGGAGCAAAGCAACATCAATCATATTTCCAGGTGGCTCTGTAGGCCGCACGGCAGGAAAAAGGCTTTTCTTGTGAAAGCCATCCCGCAAAGGTGATAGTGCTCGAGAGAGGGCTCAGCACTTAGGAGCGCACACTGCTTACAGAGAACGCGAATTGGATTCCCAGCACCTATATTGTGTGACTCACGGCTGCTGTGCCCTCTTCCACAGGCACCTATACCCTACTCTCACATAATTAAAAATAAAGCATATTTTTTAAAACGGTAGAGGCATTGAATCCAGTAGGCATGCACATATTAATATAGGGACACCAGGTCGATGAAAAACAGGACAGCATGATAGCGTTAAGAGAACACAGTAACTCTAACAGATCCTAAAGAAAAAGAAAAAATTTAAAAGGAAAATGTACTACCAAGTGATCTGTAGATTTGTTACAGTGCCTGTGAAATTACTCACAGGTGTAAGGGGGGGTGACGGTGTCCTCACAGGTGTAAGGGGGTGCTTCTGAGTGCTGGGGGCATAGTACCCAATCTCAAAGTGATAATAACCAAACTGTCATGGTGTTGCAGAAGAGCAGACATGGAGACCAACAAAACAGAAAGCATGGAAACAGACATGATTTTTGACAGAAACAACAAGAACATATATTGGAGAAAGTACTGTCCCTTTAGTAAACCGTACTGGGAAAAATGGACATCTTTATGGAGGAGAAAAAAAAAACAAAAACAAAAACAAAAAAACCCAGCCCTCTCTCATCATACTTTAGAAAAAAAAAATCTTCAAAATTGAGCCCAAAATGTAAGATCTTACTGTAAAACTGATAGGAGACACTGAAGAAATGCTTTTAGGACATTGGTCTGAGCAAAGATTTTGTGTGTGTGGTGGTGGTGGGGCGTGTGACTGCAAAGGCGTAGGTACCCACAGCAAAAACTGACAGATGGGTCCACATTAAGTCTTTTGTACAGCACCAGTAACAGTGAACAGAGTGAAGAGGCAGCCTGCAGAATGGAGAGAATATTTACAAGGTATCCATTTCCAGAATATTCAGGGAACTCAGACAACTGAGCAGCAAACCCCATGAGTAATGTAATTGTAAAAAAGGCAGGTTGAGCAGATGCTTTCGTTTGCAGAGAGCTTGCCGTGCAGCTGTGAAAGCACCAAGATCTGACTTTGACCATTGGCACCGACGGAAAAGCTGTGTAGGAAGCCCTGTGACCCCAGCCACAGGGTGGCTGATGCAGGAGGATGCCTGGGGCCTGCTAACCACCCAGCCTAGCTACATCAGCAAGGGCCAGATCCAGTGACAGACCGTGTCTAAAGAGTAAGATGTAGGGCGACTGAAAAGCACAGCGAGTTGATCTCGGGCATCCATGTACATGTGTGTACATATATGTGCCCCTCCCACACATCATGGGAAGATGGCCAGAAGAAACATTTTTCAGAGCAGGATATATACATGACCAATAAAGACAGGAAAAGATGTCTAGCACCAAAGGTACATCAAACTGTGAGATACCCTCTTGCCTCAGAACAACTTATCCAAAAGATGACATTAGCCTGGGCTGGTAAGGACACAGAGATTTCACACATGCTGTGTTTTGTTTGTTTGGATTGTGTGTGTGTGTGTGTGGGCACACGCGTGCGCGCGCGCATGCCCACACACACTTGTTTATTTATGCATGTGCGTCCATGCACATGGAGGGCAGAGGATAACTTGTGAGAGCAACCTTCTTTCCTTCCTCCTCATGGATCCCTGGGATTAAACTCAGGTCATCAGGGTTGGTGACAAGTTCTTTTATCCATTGATCGACCCTGCTGGCCTAGATTTGTTTTTGTTTATATATGTATACACACACATATTTACTTATTGTATATGTGTGTGTTTGCAATGAATTTATGTGCACTACAGAGGGCATCAGATTCCCTAGATTTAGAATTAGAGGATGTTGTTGAGCCACCTGCTGTGGGTTCTGGGACCTGAACCCAGGTCCTCTGCAAAAGCAGTAAGGCTTTTTGATGACTGCTGGGCTATCCAGGCTTTGCTTGTTTTGTTTTTGTAGACAGAGTCTTGTTATATAGCTCAGACTGTCTTTCACTCCTGATCATGTAATGTTGATTATACAGGCATTATAGAAAGCTAGAAGTTTACTATATGGTCCAGTAATCAATCAATCAATCTCTCTCTCTCTCTCTCTCTCATTATAGAAAGCTAGAAGTTTACTATATGGTCCAGTAATCAATCAATCAATCTCTCTCTCTCTCTCTCTCTCTCTCTCTCTCTCTCTCTCTCTCTCTCTCATTATAGAAAGCTAGAAGTTTACTATATGGTCCAGTAATCAATCAATCAATCTCTCTCTCTCTCTCTCTCTCTCTCTCTCTCTCTCTCTCTCTCTCTCACAGAGAGATTTTCCTGGTGTTCCTAAATGCAATGGACCAGAAATCCATTGGTGCATTGGGCAGGTATGTTGGAAAGAGATTTTCACTTGTGTCTCTTTGCAACTTTGTCTCAGTAAGCAAGTTAGGCAGTCAACCTGTGCGTTCATTGACAGATCCATAAATGAAGAGTTGTGGCATATTACATCATAGAATACTGTTGAGCCACAGAGAACAAAATCCTTCAGTTTGCTTGCGTGGAACTGGAGGACGCTATACGAAGTGAGCTGTCAGAAACAAAAGGTGCAATACCGCATGTTCTCACTTACCTTGTGGAAGCAGATCTGAAAGTCGGGTGTAGAGTAGTGATTTTCAGACAGTCCGGGAGGAGCTAGAGTGAGGAGGGCTAACCCCTCCAGCATACAGCTGGGTAGGAGTAACTTTGTGTGTCTGTGACACAGTAGGAGAACTGTGCTCAACAACCCTTAGCTGGATGTTTACTGTGTTTAAAACCTTCATTTTATTTTAGTTTGTGGGGGTTCTGCCTCCTTGTGTCTCTGCACCGTGTATGTATGGTACCCTCAGAGGCCAGAAGAGGGCATTGGATTCCCTGGAACTGGAGTTAGATAGTTGTGAGCTGCCCTGTGGGTTCTGGAAATCTACCTGGGTTTCTGGAAGAGCAAGTGATGCTCTTAACCACTGAGCCATCTCTCCAGCTCCCAGCTGTATATTTCAGTAGGGCCGATTTTGAATATTCCCAACACAATACATTTCTGAGCAACAGATACATCATTGTGTGTGCGTGTGTTTAAATGTTATAGTCTAACCATAAATATGTAGAAGAAAGAAAACAGACTCCTGCCACTCACCATAATTACTGCGTTAACTAAGAACAAAAAGCATGTTTTACAAGGCTATCTTAAGAAAAAGTATTGGGGCCTAGAGAGATGGCTCAGCAGTTAATGCTTGTTGCTCTCACAGAGGACTGGGATCCAGTTCCCAGCACCCGCATGGTAACCCAGAACCATCTGTAAGTTCAGTTCCAGAGGATCCTGTGCCTTCTCTGGCCTCTGCACGATGCAGTACAAACATAAACACAAGCAAAACATCCATGCACGTAAAATAGAAATAAGTCAGTGTTAAAAAAACAAAAGCATACCTCGTGGTGCTAACCCTCACGCAATGGACGCACCAGTTTGTTTCAGTGTCATTCCTAGCCTTCAGGCAACACCTTGTTCACGGGACTTCCATTGCTGTCTTTCTTTTCAGTACTTCAGTTTGTGCCTCCAAGTGTGGATACTGGCTTCTGCAACTTCACCCAGAGCGTTGAGAAAGGCCTGATGACAGCTCTCTTTGAAGTGAGGAAACACCAGGGTGTGTACAACCTCACAGTACAGGTGAGAACCACAGGGCAGAATGCCTTGTTCCCCACGCTAGGTGTGGTGGCACACATCCTTAATCCCAGGACTCCCGAGGCAGAGGCGGCCGGATCTCTGTGAGTTGGAGGCCAGCCTGGTCTACAGAGTGAGTTCTAGGACAGCCAGAGCTACATAGAAAGATCCTGTCTGAGGGGAGGGGTGTGTCCATCCTCCAGGGGCGGGAACCTAGCTCCTGTGGGCCAGGGCTAACCTTTGCTAAGGCACGGAGTCTACAGTGTGACATCAGAGATTTTGGAGTGACTGCAAACCAGGGAGTCAGATAGGATGAGTTGAAGAGTTGGTTGGATGCAGGAAATTCAACAGTGTTTCCATCCATACGGGGATGATCTTGGCTGTCCGGTCATTGAAGCAGTGCGTGAATACACGTTCCTTTTTCAGCAGTTTGAGTATCCTGGATCTGAAAGGCTTGGTGCTGGAATTGTGTCATATGACAGAGCTTTTGGAATTATTTGGAATATTTGGCATAGTTGGTTTCTCTAATCTGAATAAAAGAAATGATCTGAAATCTAAAACATTTTGTGCATCAGTGATAATGCTCCAGATGTTTTGGGCTTTGGGACACTTTAGTTTTCATGCCTGAGATGCTCCACGTCTGTTAATGGGGCTCTTTGGGATGCAGCGTCTCTGTCCAAACAGGTGGTTCTCAACCTCCCTAATGCTGTGACCCTTTAATACAGTTCCTCATGTTACGGTGACCTCCAAACATACAATTATTTCATTCCTCTTCATAGCTATAATTTTGCTACTGTTACTAATTATAATGTAAATATCTGATATGCAGGATATCTGATATGTGACCTCTGTGAAATTGTTGTTTGATCCCTTAAGGGGTTGAGAACCACTGGTCTAAACATAGAGGATTCTTTTGATCAACAGACTGGTTTCATGTATATTCTACTCAAACTATTGATTTTTTTTAATGTGGTACACCCACCCCCTACTCTTTGTTCCCTTTCTGAAATGTATCTTACCTCAAGATTTTGGCACTCCTGAATTCACTTTTTGTGCTTCTTAATTTTTCCTTCGTATGGTATGGAACTTTTTGTCCTGTCAGAGATTTTGGAAAGTCTGTCCTCTGAGTCACTAATTTTGTCTTCAGCTGTGTCTATTCACCCTGAATTTCTGGCTAGTCATTTCCCTGCATTGTTCTTTGTTTCATTATATCCTTTGCAGACATGTTAGCAAGTAGCCTTCTGAGGACATTAAGTAGGATTTTAAAAAGGTTTTCTTCTGTGTTCTTCCTATGTACGACTGTTTTCTTTGCAGTATTGTTCTATATGTGTGTGTGTGTGGGTGCATTGGTTAGCAGGAGGTTGGTTAGTGGTAAGGGATGGAGAATGGGGTTAATTATGGCCGTTGACCCCTTTGGCTATGGAGGCTACCTCGTGTCAGCCTGATGGGAGAATTCATCTGCTCCCCTGGGAGCTGAGGAGAATATAGCAAAATACACCAGAGTGTGAGCGTCTGTCTACAGCACTGCACAGCTTGTGGTCAGAGAGAAATAGGCAGGCTGGCCCTGCCCTGTGCGAGCTCAGGAGCCCTCCTCTGGGGACGGAGCCCTCCCTACTGAGTGTTTTTAGTGGCACACATGCCTTTCTTTCCCGTTCATTCCTCTTTTGTGTCTTGTATGCTCTGGTGACACTGGAGGGTCTTAATCTGTTCCCGCCCTCGTTCAGAGGGTCTTAACCCACAAGAGGCCTTTTTTCTCCTCTGGGAGGGGCTCGTTCTCCTGAGAGGGTAGTTCTTTGGGCTGTTCAGGGAGATGGTACTGCTGGTCCCTGCCTTGGCGTGGGTGTGGTTTAGGCAGGAAGAGGAAGGCTGTTCACTCTTGGTTTACCTCCTTTTAATTAACTGATCCAATCCCTGCCCTGTAACCTACTTCTGGTCTCAGGTCTTCATCGTTCTCCAGGGGGCCTCCCCAGGAGAATGAGACTATCTTGTAGCCTTGGCCTGTGTGTGTTTAGGCTCTTGGTCCTCTCCGTTCTGGCTTATTTCCGCACCATCTTTTCCTTTCTTCGTCTTTTAGAAATTTGACAGAACCTCTGGGTTTCTTCCATTCTCAGTGTGTTGTGGATTTATTGCTCTTTGTTCAGTTTACTGTTATTTCAGTGGGATTTGGGGCTGGAGGTGGAGTAGGGAGGGGCCGTGAATGCATGAGTTCAATTCATCACTTAATGTAAAAAACATTTCTCATAAACAGTGTTTAAAGCCTCACAAAAAAATGAACAAGGTTAGAAAGCCAGCTCCTTTTCTTTTAGAATTTTGCCTCCTTTTTAGTCAGGCTTGGAGACGCACACCTGTAATCCCAGCACTTTGAGGAAAGAAGTTCCAGGCCTGGACAGTATGGCGAGATGCTGTCTTTAAGAAATAAAGCATCTTTTCACTTTACCCACTTTGAAGAACATTGATCAGAGAACTCGTGGTAGATATCACAGTCTGGCTTTCAGTTCCATGTCTTCTGACTTCCTTTCAGATTGTGAATGTCACCATTGGTTCTTCGAGGGTGACTCCTCGGAGGGGCCCGGTGAATATTATCTTTGCTGTTAAAGGCACGCACGGCTTTCTGAATGGGTCTGAGGTGAGCGATCTGCTCAGGAACCTGACGGTGGTTGAGTTCAGCTTTTACCTGGGGTACCCAGTGCTGCAGATTGCAGAGCGTGAGTACTTACCAGCTCCTGGAGCGCGCTGGGGGTGGGGGGCACTGGAGGGCACTGAGGGAAGGAATTCCAGTGTTTTCATTGGTAGATCTCTACTTTAAAATATTTTTAACTTTAAAAAGAGACCCAATTGGCTGGGGTGTTGGTGGTGGCGGTGGTGTTTAATCCCAGCACTCAGGAAGCAGAGGCAGGCAGATTTCTGAGTTTGAGGCCATCCTGGTCTAGGGAGCGAGTTCCAGGACAGCAACAAAAACAAAACAAAAAGACCCAGAAAATGAGAGAGACAGAGAGAGACACAGACAGACAGAGACACACAGAGATGCAGAGAGACAGACAGACAGACACACACACACAGAGAGAGAGAAAGGGGGAGAGAGAGAGAGAGAGAGAGAGGCAGTCAGTTATTCTAGGGTGCTTTGGGGGTCATAGTGATTGGGATCGGATGGGGAGAGGGATTTCCCTGGGCTCCTTCTGGCTCACAGGTACAATGTCTCCATCGTAAAATTCGGCCCAGAATGGCCCATTGGTCACAGCCGGTGGACACACACTGACACAGGCCCCCAGGGTCTATAGGTTTCTGGTAGGCTCACTCTCAGGGTTGAACTCCTTGTGGTTTAAATGACTGTTTAGTACTGCGTGCCTGTCTTCATCATGACAAACACAGAACGTTCACTGGACCCTCCTTTCCCACAGGACATATTTGACTGAACTGAATAAAATCAGGACATCTCAAGCCCAGCCAGGGGGGACTCTAGAGCCGTTCTCTGCCCCTGTGCCTCCTCTCCTGTGTGCTTTTGGGAATAGTGGGGTGCTGTGAACAGTGTAGTGGTCCTAGGGAACCTGAACTACAGGGCTGGGGAAAGGTGGAGAGGACATTGGACTACAAAGGGGTGTGGAGGTGTGTCAGGAGTGGGGTTGGCTAGAGAGTGAAACTTCTGCGTTCTCACTTGGGGATGCTTGTGCAGTGCTGCATTTCCCCAAAACCAATGAACCTGGATGCCAGAAAGAGTGAGCTCTATAGGGGAAGCTGTAGCCAGCCTATCCCACTTCTGACACCAGATATAGTGGGAAATTACCAATACGGAGTCAGGTAGAAATATAAGGGTATTTAATAGGGAAAAGCCTTACAGAGCAACCTAGCCAGCCAGCGTGGCAGCGGTCTGTACCAAGTCCAAAAGTGAAACCGAAAGAGAAAACTCAGTCCTCTGAAAGTCTCACTCTACATCACCCTGACCACGCCCTCGCATGGTCAGGCACACCTGTAGCCAGTCCCTAAGTAGGCGTGGCTACAGCTTCCCCTACAGAGCTCTATTGTGTATTAAGTTAAAAACTGTAAAAAAGCAATAAATGGAAGTATCCTTCCCGGTTGAAGCAATCAGCTTCCCAGGCAGTTTGGGAAGAAGTGGCAGTGTCTGATTTAGAGAGTAATGCATGCCAGAGTTAATGGCAGGCAAATAAATAAAACCGTTTTTGAAAATGGACCAGCTAAATATCCTAAATCATGATTCTTAATGTCTTTCAATATGTTATTAACTAAACTAAGGATAAACTATAAAACATGAAAGTAGGGGGCTGCAGGCATGCCTTAGTGATTAGAGCATATACAGAATGCTTTTGTAGAACTCCTTCTCTAGGGGCTCTGACAACTCCTGCTGGCCTCTTTGGGCACCTACACACACATGTGTACAAATACACATGCAAACACACATGACTAAAAATAAACCATAAAGGTGGGTGCTGGTGGTATACATATTTAATCCCAGCACTCATGAGGCAGAGGCAGGCAGAACTCTGTGAGTTCGAGGCCAGCCTGGTCTCCAGAGCCAGTTCCAGGACAGCCAGGGCTACACAGAGAAACCCTGCCTTAAATAAATAAATAAATAAATAAATAAATAATCAAATAATTAAAAAAATAAATAAATGGAACCATAAAAATATGTATATAGACAAGTAGATGGGAATGAAGTTATTTATCTATAACAATTTTGATTTTTATACAATATGTGTACATACAGCTAAAATAATAAGCAGAAGTACCCAGAGACTGTTCCCAGCAAGGCAGAACTGCTTCGCTTTACCCTGAGGCATTGCTGAGAAAGCTCTTGGCTCTGAAGAACACAGCTTAGAACCGCTTTGCTCTAGAACAGCGTATATAGGAGATGCTGCAGTGACCTATGTGTGATGTGGTGGTCCGTGATGAGGCCAGAGAATCCCCTTTTATCCTCTTCTAGGGACGCAGAAACTGGTGCCTGTCTGTGTTCATCTTGTTGGTATTTGGGAGTCTCGAAGAATCCTACAGTGTTATGATTTATCCCACACTCCCACAACACTTGCCTTCCTGAGTGAAAACAGGTTTCTCACAGTCTTTTCTCTCTTTCCAACTCTTTCCTTTTTGTAGCCTTCCAGTACCCACAGCTCAACTTATCCCAGTTACTGAAGTCCTCTTGGGTCAGAACAGGTATGTTCAGTTTACGTAATGTTTGGAGACCTATACAGTAAGAAGTCTGCGGACATACGGGGAATGATGCTCCTCTCCTGATTCCTAAATTGAGGACAAGCTGTACTTTGAATTCTTGGCAGAGAATGAATGAGAAAAGGGATTCGATCTGGGCTATGGGAATGTGTCCCACTGAGTTATGGCACAGAAAGGGCTTCTTTAACATTTATACGTCAAGTCCAGGGCAGAGTCTTCCTGGAATCTGCAGTCTCCTGACCTGAGGTAGGATGAAGCTCAGAAGCGAGCTGAAAATAGTTTTTTTTCTGAAAGTTTTGCTAGATGAATACAGTAGTTTAGGACCAGGGTCAGGTATTTAAACAGACTTGGGCACATCCAGGTCGATATCCCACATTTATTGCCATGTATTTAGACTGAGAGCATAGCATTTCAGCGCAAAGCTCCCTGACCTGGTCCCTGAATTCTAAGAGTCCCAGGTGTCAGGTGACAGAGTACAAGCAGCATGTGACCAGTCGTAAGGAAAGAGGGTGTCTAAGTAGGTACAGTCACCCTTTATGGGTTCTGAAGCCTTGTGCAGGGCTCAACTCTTCACACACGGTATAGATTCCATTCTCCAGACCTCAGACTGTTGAAGCGACTTACTTGCCTAGCATTGGACCTTGGAGAGAGTTGAGACCAGGTTGGCTAAAAGGCTATTTCCTCATCAACTGGAGGATAAGCTGATTATCTGTTGAGATACTTCTGTCTGATACAGATAACAAGAAGCAGGCAGATCCCATCTCCTCAAAGGAGACTGTAAGTCGATGTCCGAAGACACGATAAGAACTCAGACTGTCCAGAAGTTTGAGGTAGTGCAGACGACAGGATGCTTGTTTGATCTTAGATGCTCTGCGCTCAGAACTCCCACGGCTGAGTTCCAGGGGCTTCTCATTTTCAGTTTGCCATGAACTCGGGCCACTTCCAGGGCCCTTGACCCTATTCCCATCTCTTTATGTCTCCAGTCTAGTAATGAGTGTTTTTGTGGTAATCTTGTATGGGATTTTTGTACTTGAGCACACACCCTGTTCCCCCGCTACACACACACACACACACACACACACACACACGCGAGCACACACACAGAGTTCGTTCCTGTCTATGCTGTCTCGATGAGTGCTTTGTTTCTTGTTGAACACAGTCCTCCTGGGCGTAGTGGAGAGGCAGCTCCATAATGAAGTGTTTCCAGCAGAGATGGAGCGCAAACTGGCCCAGCTGCTCAGCGAGGTGCCCACCAGGAGAAGAATGTGGCGGAGGGCCACAGTGTCGGCTGGGAACAGCGTGGTGCAGGTACTCACTGAGGGAGAGCAGGGGGAACGTCTGGTGTGCACATGGCAGCCTTGCAAATCCACTTAGGGACCAGACAGAAACCTTAGCCTTGGCCTAGCCCTGGACTGCAGGGAGCGTAGTAGGAAACTTAACCCTGGATTCCTGTATCATCATAAGGCTTTGTTTTTTTGAGGAGCAGTTTTTAAAATCACCAACAGCTGAACTTGTTTAGAAATGAACCACAGACAGAGGGGCATTTTCTGCCCTATTCAGAAATCGCATCTTCTCCACTTCCTGCCAACCTGCTTGTCTTCTGTTACCCCAAATCGTCTCTTCTCTGGGAATCGGGCAGGCAGGTCACAGAAGCAGATCTGGTTGAAGTGAAAAATGACCTATTTAAAAATGCACAAACTCGCAGAACTTTGGGGGTGGAGCTGCTATTTCATTCCTGTCTCTGTGTGAATGGTGGTGAATTTCTTTCTTTACCAATCAATTGCAGACTTAAGAATCGCAGAAAATGGGGGTTCACAGACTGTTTCAGAAACCCAGAACTAGGGTGAAACCCAGCAGTGAAGGGTAACTGGTGGGCGGGACGGGGGCGGGGAGGCTTATGGGGTGTCGAGAACAAGATTCGGAAGTGACATGGGCAGGTGAGGGTGCCATTTTTGCCTAGAATTGGTGTTCTTGTCCTCTGGCACCTTCACAAAATATATTCCTGTCAGCCTTGTTTTCCATTCCCCACCCAGAATCATGGTTCTTAGGTTCCCAAAATAGTTTCCTTGCCAAAGGCAGCCACACTAGGGAAGTATACAAAGCACTAAGATTTTAAATATTTATTTTTATTATTTTTAGTTATGTGTATGTGTGTATGGGTGCGTACATGTGCGTGCAGGTGCCAGTGGAGGCCGGAGGTACTGGAAGCCTCTGAAGCTGGGGTGACAGTTGGCTGTGAGCCATCCTATGTGGGTTCTGAGAATTGAACTCAGATTCCTGAGAGCAGTAGACACTCCAAACCACTGAGCCATCTCTCTAGCCCCAAATACTAAGAAATTAAAAAACAACAGCTAATAAAAAAAAGAAAGGAAAAATTACTAATAAATGCCCACTGGTTAAATAAGCATACAACAAAATAAACATTAAAATGAGTTATGAAGACCTTGCCTTATTCAATGTGTGCATATTAAACAGTTACAGAGCACCAGAAACCTGGGTGATCGGGTGTTAAATTGGATACTCAAACTTCTTAAGGTAGGAACACCAGGTCTGTGGAAGGTAGCCAAGCTTCCTCAGTCCAATGCCACTTGACAGATGTCCTGGAGGCCACTCTCTGTTTTCGGTCTCTATAAAAGATATTGTATATAAAAGTACAAGGCTCTTTACCTAAGCCTTATTTGTGGAAATGAAAACACTGAACAAGGGCTAGTGAGATGGCACTTGCTACCAAGTCTGATGACCTGAGTTCAAGCCCCAGGCCTCACATGGTTGAAAGAGAGAACCGACTCCTGCAAGTTTTCTCCACCTGTGCAAGGAGGGACACGTGTGCTCATACACAGGCACACACAAACAAATAAGTGCAATTTTAAAAATTAATAAAAGAGCCAGGCGTGGTGGTGCACGCCTTTAATCCCAGCACTAGGGAAGTGGAGGCAGGTGAATCTGAGAGTTAGAAGTTGGCCTGGTCTACATAGCAAGTTCCAGGCCTGCCAGCGGTACAGAGTGAGACCTTGTTTCAACCACCTCCCAATTAACAAAAGAGATAAGAAAATACTGAGCCAACATAACTGTCTAGGAATTAGGGAGTGGGTGAGGAGTAAATCCTTGTGTACTGGAGTATTCTCCAGCAGTTTAAAAGTTGGTAATGTAGCCGTGTGCTCTAAAAAAGGACCTAAGAGAAGAATATGAAGAAGGACCCTGAAGTGATAGAGAATTCAGAAGGAAGAACAGGGAAATACGCTGAAGTCCTTACAGTGAGTGGTGTTCTTTAACTGGCTGAATTTCAAGAGGGTTTGATTTTATTCTTTATAGTTTTTTACTGTGTTTTTCAAAGTTTCTTCATGGGGCCACATTTGTATAACACAGAAATATTTAGTGACCCCAGAGATTGACTCGGAGATACCTGTGTATTGGGGTTCCTGATATAAATCTCATTAGCCATCATCCAGAAAGATGCTGGAGTTAGACCTTCCTCTGGCTCCTTCTAGACTGGACAGCTTTCGGAGGCTTTAATGAAAGTGACGACCCCTGGGGATGCGATTTCTATGAGAGAGCTCCCAGACTTTTTAGTATGAAGGGTAGAAGAATAAATACACTCCCAAGACATGGTGAGTTTGTTGGAGGTTGTCAGTTATAATCCCAGACTGTCTGGTGCCGTTCTGTTCACTCTATCGGTCCCTTTTTTTCTCAAAGAAGACATTAAAACAAAGTACAGTTGCTGTTCTACACAGAAGGACTTTCATTGTGACTGTCTCTGCCAGTAGACAGCACTGAGATTCTGGGACTCAGTAAGTGGCAATGAGCTTTTTAAGAGGACTGGGACAAATGCCAAGTCACACACGAGGGGCTGAGTGCCCTGAGATGGGCATCCGGCAGTGTGAGCTTCCCTGATGCTGGGGGGACTCTGTCTGTCACAGGTGGTGAACGTGTCCAGGCTGGAGGGAGATGACAATCCTGTGCAGCTCATCTACTTCGTGGAGAATCAAGATGGAGAGAGACTCAGTGCAGCCCAGTCTTCAGATCTGATCAACAAGGTAGACCTCCAGAGAGCAGCCATCATCTTGGGGTACCGGATTCAAGGCACCATTGCCCAGCGTAAGTCTAAGAGTATCATCCTGCCAGCCATGCCGGGGTCCAAAGTCACTTGTGTTTTGAGAGCGAGCTCTGAACTACAACATTCTGACCTGTATGTAGTAGATTTATGTCTTAAAACCTCGTCCTGAAGTGGTGTTTATGCAAGATGTTAGTTGTTGATGTCTGTTTGCTGAGACTTTGTTGTATTTTTCTTAAATTGATTTATTATAAATTATAAAATATACACTGTGTGCGTGTGTGCGTGCATGTGTGTGTACGTGTGTGTGCATGCACATGTGTGTGTGTGCACATGCCATCGTGCATATGTGGAGATCAGAGGACAGCTTTGTAGACTCAGTTCTTCCCTTCCATCTTTACGGGGTTCTGGGGTTCCAGCCCAGGCCATCAGGCTTGTGAGGCTTTATTTGCTGAAATGCTCTTTATTTTTATTTCCATCTGTGGGATTGTGGACATTGCTGTTGTTTTTTCTACCTCACACCTCATATTCATGAGTTGCCAGTGAGGCTCAGGACCTTATGTCAACATGAACATCCATTCCCCTACCCCCGTACTAGTTTTCATTTGAAAAGCCATCTTAGGTAAAAATAATACACCTATTCTGTTTTTATTCCCAAATCTTCCATGCCACACCCTGCATGTTGGTGGGGACAGTGAGTCACTCAGGAAGCTGGGAGGTGCCCTCTAAGTTGACTGACTTCCTTTGGGGCCTTTTAACACAAAGGAGTCCCTTGATCCTTACCCTCTCTTCAGTCCCGTTTCTCCCTCACCCTTGCCTCACGCAACTCTACATTTAGAAGGACGTGTTTGATATTTCTTATTATTGTTGGAAGGTACGTGGCCCTGCCCTCTGGCAATGATTGCTCTCAATACCTCTTTTCCAACGGCCAGATTTGGGGTGTGTGTTTGAAATGCAGAAGCACGGAGAATATAACTCTCTTAAATATGATTTTACAAGTTAGACTGCTGTCTTAGTGTGGGTGTTTTCCCTCTGTGATCCAGAGCAGTCCTTGGTAGTGTGGGAAAGCCTGCTCCCTAAAGTGGAGGGATAGGCAGATGTATTGACATCAGAGAATCCTGAAGAACTTTAGTGAGGACAGGTAGGAGACAATGCAAGCTTTTTCTTCTCTTCATCAGTATGTTTATTAAAAACATAGACTGATACACCTGTGTTTAATGTCATTGTTTAATGTCATTGTGGACGCATGCTGACGTTCATAAAACGGGCTCTTTACAAATATACCCCAGATAGATGTAAAGATACAGTCAGAAATGACCACTAAGACCTTTCCATTTCAGACATAATTTTATAATTAACACTTGTAAGAACTTGGAGTTGGCATAACATACAATTCCCTGTGGGTGCCAAGAACCAAACCCAAGTCCTCTGGAAGAGCCTCAAGTGCTCTTAACCACTGAGGTGTGTCTCCAGCCCAGCTTTTAAATAGTACCTTTGAGATTACCCTTTGGGAAAGGCTTTGGTGAAATCAGTCCTTGGCCCTGGAGACTTTACCAGGGTGAGGGCTGTTGAGTGCACTGATGGACAGGGGTGCGAGAGATGACGTGGTGCCGTTAGTAGGCTGTTTGATGTGCTTGAGAGATGACTGCGTAGTGGGGTCTGTTTCAAATCAGTGAGGGAATAATGAAAAAGTACTTCCTAACACTGTATCCAGAGCCGGAGATGGATGATGAGAGAGCTGCCTCCCTCTGAGTTTTACACAAGGTTGATTTCAAGAGGATACGGCCACCTTTCTGTTGGGGGTTGGCAGGGAGTTAGGAAGTAGTGGGGGTACAGATTTTCACCTACTGGCCCTTCAGGAAGTAAGTCAACAGCCCTTCAAGTGCTTGTCACTGACCAGAGTTACAAGATTAACCAGTGCTGTCTTTTATTAAATAATGACAATTCCACAAGTAGCTTCTAGCTGGCCCCAAGCTAAAGATAAACCAAAGGCGGGGAAAATGAGGTGAGAACTGGTAGACTAACACCAGTGAAATATGGTGAGCCATTTCCTCCATCTAAAACTCACATCCTGAATTGGACCACACACATGCCGTGAGACGCCCCCAGCCAGTTCAGATGACTACCGCATGAAGCTGCACAGGGAGTTCCAGGCCTGTGTGGGCACAGTAGGGCTTCTACAGCTTAGCCAGCACTCACAGTGAACTCTACACAGCACACATGTATAACGTCTCTCCTGACATGGCTTTCCACACCAAGCATGCACATGCAAGGACCCAAACTGGAGCTGCCTGGTTTCCATACTCATAGGGCCCTGTGTCCTCACCTAGGAACAAGTCCCCTGAGTCTACCTTAACTCCCAATAAAAGCCCTGAGAGTAAAGACAGGCAGTCATGTCTTTGTGACCTCACTCTTTTCATTAAAAGCTTAGTTAACCCTTGCTCTTGTCTCCCTCTCCTTCCTTTCTGTACGGGGCGAATATCCTGGGATTCCAGGGTTGGGAGAAGAAGCCTCACTCCCTACCAAGGCCAGTCAAGGGGCCTTGAGGACACCTGTCTGTGGTTTCCCTCGATTAGAACTAACAGGAATAACAGTTCCTGCCATGAGCGGTCACCATGTCTGTGCTGTTGTCTGTTCTTAGACAAAATGAGCTATTAATGTACATTCCGTCCAGGCCACATTTTAAAACACACACCTTGTTTTCTCCCTGTTAAACATAAACTTCTCTAAGTCTTTCTGTTGGAGCTGCAGAGATGGCTCAGTGGTTAAGAGCACTGGCTGCTCTTACAGAGGTCCTGGGATGGATACACAGCATCCACATGGCAGCTCCCAGCCCCATGACACCCTCTTCTGACCTCCGAGTGAACGGCACCCATGTGGTACCCGGACATATACAGGCAGAGCTCTAATACATAAGAACTAAAAATAAACAATGACTCTTTAATAAAAATATGGCCCTTTGTGCTGCTGCTCTGTCTCTGAGCAGATGTATTCTGATCCTCGAGCGGGTGTTAGCTACTGAGACAGGAGCTCGCTCGCAGCTTAGTCCCTGCCGATCACAATTTAGGGGTGTCTGAAAAGACTTGGAAGCTGGGGTGAGCAGAGCGAGGAGCTGTACAGCATCTGAAGCTAAGACTTTGGTGTATGAAGGGACATTTTAAGAGAACTGTAAGGAGCCACTTTTGAAACAGAGAGAAGAGTGTTGTCACGGGGAGGCAGGGGTGTGAAGGGGAAGACAGGAGGACACTGGGCTTAGAGACTGGGAGAAGCTCTGAGCTCCCAGGAGCTTCGGAGGGTCAGCACGGAAGGAAGAGAACACAGGATGAGCTAGCCAGGGAGACTGGAGAGGGGTGGGAGCAGAAGGGTCCATGCAGGGTCACCTGAGGCTTGAAAGGTGAGAGGCTGCTGTGTGTGGGCATGGCTGTGAGTGCAGACAGGCCATTTCAAAGGAGTGCAGTTCACCTCAATGTCATCTCATAGTTGATACCTGTTACCTTTAATAAAGCGGCTTCCACGAAGACCCGCTTCCAACAGCTCGAAGGTCACAGGTGAGGAAGACTACACCCTGAAATCCCATGTTCAGACTTCAGTTTCCTGGCAAACCCTCCCATTAGTTAAACCCTTTATGGGGGCGGGGGAGCCCCTCGGAGTGGTAAAATACATGTATTGGAGGAAGGGGGGAAGGAGAAATCATGTAATTTTAGTCTCAAAAGTGAAAGAAAAATACGTATTCGAGACTATTGACCTTTTCAAAACCATCTTGACACGTATGAACAAGTGGCGTTGGCCAAAGTCAGTGTTTGCAGCCATCTTCTCTCTTCATTTTCAGCGCTTGCCATTGGGCACAGAAGCTCTGCCCATTAGGTAGCGCCCCTCAGGTCCTGGCAGCCTCTGCGTTCTCTCTGTCTGTAAATTTTACTGTTCTAGGTGCCTCGTATGACCTTTACTCTTGTGTGTGTGTCTCCCCTTGCATAGCGTGTTTTCAAAGTCCATTCCTATTGTTGCTATTTTGAGATTCACTTTTTCGTCCTCTTTTTTTCTTCTGTGTTTGTGTATGAGACAGGTGTCCTACTCTTTCATTCTCCACCCAATTTCTTTGAGACAGGGTGTCTCACTGAACCTGGTGGCCGTCAAGCCCGGCCATTGTCCTGTCTCTGCCCCGCATGGTGCTGGGACCCATGCCCCTCTTTGACATGGGTGCTAGGGACCCAAATTCAGGCCTATAGTAAGAAATTACCAATACGGAGTCAGGTAGAAATATAAGGGTATTTAATAGGGAAAAGCCTTACTTACAGAGCGAACCAGCCAGCCGGTGGTAGTCTGTACAGCAAGAAGCAAAGAGAAACCGAAACCGAAAACGCAGTCCCCCTACTCACTCTGACCACGCCCTCACAAGCCCTCAGGTACTCTTGTAGCCAGCCCCTAAGAGGCGTGGCTACAGCTTCCCCTACACAGGCCCTCCTGTTTCTGTAACAAGTGCCCTTCTTCCTTACCGGATGAACTATCTCCTCAGCGCCCCATGTCCTCTCTGAAAGCTGAATAGTACTCTGCTGTGTGGCTATACCACCTTTTGTTTATCCGTTCACATGTTGGCGGCTTTGGGCTTTCCCGCCATGGCTGTGTGTCAAGTGCAACTATGAACAGCACCATGTCTGTCATGTTTTCAGGTGCTGAGGTGGACCTTTGGCCTTTTTGTGGTGCTGTAACTTGTAGCTGTATATTTTTGTTGGGACCGTAGGCTCCCTAATAATGACACGGAGACTTATTATTAATCATGAAAGTTTGGCCTATAGCTTGGGCTTGTCCCACTAACTCTTATAACATCGATTCATTTCTGTTCATTGATGTGCTGAACAAAAAGATTATTCCACAACAGTAACTCTTTGGCTGTTTCCTCTAGAATATAGCGCTAGAAGCAAGTAGCATTATTTGGGGATTCATTTCTTGGTAGGTCTCCCTCCCACCTGTAGACCCAGTGCACCTGGAGGGTTTTGTCTGCGTGCTCATCAGCACATCTCACCTTTAGAACCATCTGGCACCATCAATAAACCTATGTAGGTAAGGACAGAGAGAAATGAGTTGGTAGGATGGGGAACAGCTTCTTCCCAGGTCTCCAGGTTCCAGCTCATGTTTTTCCCAGAGACCCGGGAGGTGATGCCTGCTCTGTTGGATACGGTGCTCGCAGCTGTGTCTCAAACACATAGCTTCTCTTCTCACATTGGAAGAGAACCATTTTGAATGAGGTTGTACAGAGCGATTTCATGAGATGTTATGGAGCGGGAAGAATAAGCTAGACACCAGGAGACTAGAACCAACCAAGCTTTTGTCCTCTGATGCGTATGTGTCATTGGGATCCCTGGTATATAGTGTTCCTTGTGCAACATCTGAATATGCCTGGTTACTTTCGTGTCTTGAGCTGTATGACAAGCCCCCGAGTCTCAGAGGAAGGCATGTTCTGTCCAGCAAATGAGTGAAGAGCGTGTTGCTGAGAGCCTTTCTCCCTGCTCTGCTCCTCTGCAGCTGTGGACAGAGTGAAGAGGCCATCCCCGGAGTCTCAGAGCGGCAACCTATGGGTCGTCGTGGGTGTGGTCATCCCAGTGCTAGTGGTCACCGTGATTGTCGTCATCCTCTACTGGAAGCTGTGCCGCACAGACAAGCTAGATTTCCAGCCCGACACAGTGGCCAACATACAACAGAGGCAGAAGGTAAGCGCCCTTCAGAGTCCACATGAGCGTCCTCGTGGGGCAGAAGCAAGTCCAGGCTTGGGTGCTGAAAGACAAGGAGGGCCATTGAAAGAACTCTCTGGTCTAGTGGCCAGGTCTTCTGTCTTCACGTCTGTTTACCATAGCCCCAGATCTCTCTGTTAGTAATATATTCCAAGAACAAGACCTGTAAAGACAGGCAAAGTGAGCCTTGGATCCCTGTGATTTTAATTTGGAGAGAAGTTCAGTATGTCAGTTCATTCTGTGAATGAGTTGTGATCTGTTTACTCTGGCTGTTTTCGGAGGGCAGTGGTGGTGCAGGCTCCCTCAGCTCTGTGTATCTTCCCTCATACCATACACAGATCCACTAGAGGGCTCTCTTAGTTTCTTTCTGTCCATGTTGGAAACCCATTTGTATTTGTGTGTGTGTGTGTGTGTGTGTGTGTGTGTGTGTGTGTGTGTGTGTGTGTGGTGTGTTCCTGATGGGGTCAGAAGAAGACTCTCTGGAGCTGGAGGTGTTTGTGAGCCACCCAGTTGGGTGCTGGGAACCAAACTCTGGTCCTCTGAAAGATCAACAAGTGATCTTAACCACGAGCCATCTCTCCAGTGCCCATTTACTCATTGAAAATTGGTCATACGTGTTTTAAGTGTCAGGAATTTGATGGACGTCAGTCTAACCGAGTATCCTGGTTCTTCACTGTTGTGTTGGGTGTTGTCTATGAGAGGCGCTCTGAGAGGTTTGTCTTGACGAAGACAGCACCCTGGGTGCCACCTGCTGTTCCTGATTTGTTTTGCTTACATAAGCACAAAGAAATCTCAGTCCCAAAGTCTCTAGAATTTTTAAAATGCTCCTTTCCATGTTTTCCACGCCGATGCTGGATTCCCTAGTTGTTTTTTTTTTTTTTTTTTTTTTTTTTTGGGGGGGGGGGGGTGGGGGGGTGTTTGTTTGATTTTTAAGTTGATTCACCTACACCTAATTTGTCAGCAGTTGTTTTCAGCTCCCCACTTGTCAGTTGTCTCTCCAAAGCATTCAGGTTTGTAGAAATAGCGATTCTTTTTCACGTGAGTATTTCAGGACTGTCTATTATATTGTTGTGTGAGCTTTCATAGCAAAGAAATTGCCTTGGGGTCACCATCTAGCAGCTCACCTGGTGTGAACAAAAACCTTGCCTGCATTCCAGAGACAGTCCAGCTGTAGACACCGACCAGCATGCATTTCAGCCTGTCTGTTTAGTTGTCTGCTGTATTTATTAGCACATGCCTACTATGTAAATCTTGGAAGGCTTACTCTATTCTGAATGTGATAAGATCAAGCAAATGGCAAAAGAGCAAGAAATAAAAGAATGCCATAGTAACCTTCTGATTTTATTCAGATGGTCTAAAAAAAAAAAAAAAAAAATCGATTAGCCAGGCACAGTGGTGCATGCCTGCAGTCCTAGCACTTGGGAGGTAAAGGCAGGAACATCGCAATTCAAGGCCAGCTGGGACTATCCAGTAAGATGCTGTTTCCTAAAACAAAACAAAAAAACAACAACAAAATGGGCTTCGGAGATGGCTCAACGGCAAAGGCACTTGCCGTGTAGGCATAAAGACCAGGGCTTAGATCCTCCACACCTGCGTAAAAGATGGGGAGGGTGGTGGCTGCCTGTAACCCCAGAGCATCTGAGGAGGAGACAGGATCTCTGGGACAAGATGACTAGCTAGACTAGAGGGATCTTGGAGCCCTGGGCTCAGGGAGAGATCCAGCCTGAGAGTGATTAGGGATGCCAACACCAGCAGCATGTGAACGTGCGTCCACCACACACCACACACACAGAGAACCCATGAAAGAACCGTAACTATCACAAACCACAGCCTCCCAAATGGAAATTTAAGTTTCAGTTTTAAATTTGTTATATACCTATCATAGTAAATAAAGAGTGTTTTCTCATGAATTAATCTAATGAAAAATCTTAATGATGTTGCAAGCTTATGGCTATCAGTGCTCCAGCAGAGGTTTTATACATGAATATTCTCTTTCCCACCCATCCTCACTCATTATTTACACAGTCGGCTAGCGTCTATAGTTGTCATTGTTACAGTAACAAGTGACATGGAAAAGGTGCCTGCCACGGTGCTCAGTGGTTTGCAGCATGAAATCAGATCAACAATAGGGAGGGAAATGTTTTGTTCTGGTGAAAGAGTGTGGTTATGGGGAGACACAGCCTGTGGAGTTGGCTGTGTGTTTAGGTCTTTTCTGTTCTTTGTTTCTGAGATGCATATTCCTTGTGGAAGCCTTGTCCATTATAAACTGTCAGCGGTCAGCATCTCTTAAACTGAAAACAAGATATTCCCCCCCCAGCTTTCTCCTCAATTCTACTTCTGTGATATTTCCATGTGCCAGATGTTACTATTGCTCCAAATAGAGCTTCAAGCCTGGAGAGAGCTGCTTTTTCTTCAGGGGCTGCAGGGGTCTGTGTGTACACACTTAGAGCTTGTTCCAGCAAAGATCTGCAGGCTAGACCCCAAGGAAATGGTGTCTGCTCACACCACCAGGAGGCGAGGCTGTCTTCTTTTGCTGGCATTGTGGCTCTCATGTGCAGGCTTGCCATGGGTGTGCAGTAGGAAGACGGTGACCTCCCATTAGTTGAAAATAAACTCTCTACTCTCTTCTGAGGCTGCACAGCTGTGGTGAAGGGTCTGTCGCCTGTTGCCTGTCTCTTGAGGTAACGAGTGAGGTGCTGTCCTCCTGTCACTGTAGGCTTCGTTTCCCTGCTCCTGTGGCTTTCTCTCTCCATCCTGCTCAGCCCACCCCCGGTGCTTCCCTGTGTTACTCTGTGAAATCCTCCAGCAAATCTCAGAGTTGCAAACATCTGGAAACCATAAATCTACTGACCTGCGCTCCCCACCCCCTTCCCTTGTAAGGAAGAGACTGCTTCAGATTGTCTGAGGGTCCATGATTTTTGAAATATGATAAGAGGGAGAGACCAGTGTGTCTTAGGTTTCCAGCAGGCCTTTCTGATTTCTAATGACAAAGGGGAAACTCCATGGATCTTTGTTTGTATTTGCTTTAATCACTGTCCAAAGCCATCATTTGTTATTATTACCTACAAAACTATGGTGTGGATCCTTCTCTCCATAAATGGATGGATGCTTGCAGGCCCCATGGGAATGTGTTTCTTCTGATGGGAATAGCCCATACCAATTATTAGCACAGAATTGTAGCCCCTGGGGGATGGTTTACACCCTCACTTGCTACTAAAGTTTGTACTGTGGGCAGCTAGAAGGACATGCCCATACCATGCTCCTCCGTTGTCTGGACTCCTGAAAGTGTTCAGGCCAGACTAAATTACAAGCACAAATAGCAGGCACTCTCTCTGTCTTGTAGGGTAATAGTTATGGAGAAGTCCCAGTCTCCCCCAAATTGACCTGGAGCAGTACCAGCGTGGCAAATGTGGGCTGTGGCAGCTGGGGCACGGGAGGGAGGGCATTCTGCTGCCTTCTGAGAGGTGATGCTGGGCTGTAACTGAGGTGCAAGAGACAGTGTGGACCTCTGTCTTAGTCACGGTTCTGTTGTTGTGAAGCAACACTGTGACCAGAGTAACTCTTAGAAAAGAAAGCATTTAACTGGGGCCTTGCTTACAGTTTCAGAGGTTTAGTCCATTGTCCTCATGGTGAGAATGGTGGCATACAGACAGACCATACAGACAGACTTGGTGCTACAGAAATAGCTCAGAGTTCTGCATCTGGATCTGCAGGCAGCAGGGAGAGAGAGAGACTGATTGGGCCTGGCATGGGCTTTTGAAGCCTCAAAGCCCAACACCGCTGACACACTCCTCCAACAAGGCCACACCTCCTAATCCTTCTAATCCTTTTAAAGAGTCCCACTCCCTAGTGACTACGCATTCAAATATATGACTTGATGGGGGGCAGTTTTCTTAAGCCATCACTACCTCTGAAGGGGTATAAGGGGCTAAGGAGAGCTGGAGCACAGCCTAAACTCATGTGACAGAGGACCCATCTCAAGAGCCCTGTAGACGTCTTTGGAGTTGGAACTGGTACCACAGGCAGCCGTTGCAGGCTATCTGACAAGGGGTGCAGTCTGGACAGCTTTTTGTTTGCAGTGGCCACTTGGGAAGGCAGTGTGGACAGTGCCACCAGGTACTCCTCTCCTCCCTAGCTCCAGACTCAGAATCTTCTGGATTGTTAACACTCACGTGCCCATGTTTCAGTGTGGCCTGTGGGTACAGCATAATAGAGTGTCCTCCCAGCTCAAGGACCACAGGGCCCCACATGACCGAACTAAGGACCAACAGATGGCTGTAACTCTATCTCGTCTTCACTTTTAAAATGGAAACACCATGGTGGCTCTGGGGATTTTTCTTCAACTGTTATCAGTCAAGTAATAAATTTATACAATGGCACTTTCCACACCCTTGCAAAGCTTGTTTTGTTGTTGTTTGTTTTTTTTGTTTTGTTTTGTTTTTTTGTTTTTTTGTTCAGACACTTTTTGGGATTTGCTGTATGGTTTCTATTGTCATCTTAACTTTCCCTTCCCTGGGGATCAGTTGGACCCAAGCATTGGGGGCTTTTCTGTGTCTTGTTCCATCTGGGTCTTGTTATATTTATGGCCCACATGTTTTAAAATTCATCATGCGTCTCTCTTGTTACTTGGCCGACCCGCTTGCCTAGACCTCCCTGACATGTCTGCAGTGTGTTCCCCTGGGGCCCAGACAAGGTGGCTTGTCCCCCCAATGATGTATTGAAAAAAAGAAAAGAAAAAAGAAAAATCTTTCGCCAGAAATAACTGGCCGTAATTTGAATATGGAACACCCGAATTCATCTAGATTCTTCTTATGAAAAACCGATTAGAGCCCATTTGCACACGGAAGGTGGATACAGTGCCAGTTTAGCTCTAATTTTATTTTTAAGGAATGGAAAAACTAGTTCCTAGTGGCTCAGAAAGCAGGGGCCAAGCTGAAAGCAGCGAATCCCCTGGGTGGGGGAGGGGTGGTGTTTTAGGT